TATATCTACATTGTCTCACAGAATACTTGAGCTTATTGTCATATCTGATTTCTTTAACATTCCCCCCATAAATACAGAATGAACTATTACATTATATAGTTAATAAACTGTGATATTTACACAATATTTTGAAGTTTTTGCTCACCTGACCAGGTTTACTTTGAAACACCATTTGTCATGTCCAGTTAGTCCCTGTTTAGGCCAAATAGTTATCATATCTTCTCTCCCTCAATGTTTTTAACAGGCTTATACTAACAGACTACTGGCTCTATGAGCACTGAATGTCAGATGAGCTTAAGTCATGACTGCATCTGGCCTTAGCATCTGTTGATATCCCAAACCCTTGGATCATTGAAATGCAATCTATGCATGGTTATTGCTGTCAGTTTTGACACCTGATTTTTCATTCAGAAACAATGTTTCATTCTTAGAATCGGCCATATCAACACATTACAACTATTACTATGCTGTTTTCTCACAAATTCTAGAAATATGTACATGTAGCTTGTAATGGAAACACATGGTATTTTCACACTGTACGTTAATTGACCTTTAACTTTTATTATGCACATGCCTCAAGATACATACCCAATCAGTCATCATCTTCATCATTATATTAATTGGTGCCTGTTTCATTTGAACAATGTTTCGATTGTGTCCTGTAAGTGCCCACATAAGTTTTGTGGTGATTAATTAATGAGCTTTGATTATCGATCTGCATATTGTGAGCGATAACTAGCACTGCTGTCCAGCGCAGTAACGGCAGATGTGGTGCTTACAAAGCATTGGCCATTTTACTCCGAAATTCATACCTCATTTAACTGGCCCAGCTTGACTCCATTATTGCAGCAGGCAGTGCAAACGAAATATATGCTTTACTGTCCAACATGAATCAGGAAATTAGATTTGTAACACTACTTATTTTCTTGTCAAATTTCATAACAGATATTTCTGATGTAGTTTTATGTTTAGATCAGCTGTTGTTTGGTGATGCGTTTACTTTTTATATACTGTATCCGAACATTTTAGGCTTCTCTGCCTCTTAATATAAACAGAACGCTTCCAGTCAGATAGATATCAGAGTAAAGGCCCCAGAACATATGCTGACTTGAACCTTTTCTCGTTTAGTGTGTATTTGTTATCCTATCTTTCCATGATGCAGAAGCTTATGCTGTGTATTTTGTCAAATTGTGTTAATGGTTTGGTACATCTCACATTTATCCGCCTTCCAGTCAGTAAGATGTGGTGAGTATATGTTCTTGTCAAGTGTTCCGAGACATCGTTTTAGTTTACTTGTTGGAGTCATTGTTATTCATTGTTGCTCATCTGGTCATTAGACAAAAGGCAAATTGTATTTCTGATAACATTACTCTTCAAGAAAATGTTAACGTTATTTACAGAAAATTGAAATATTGAAATGATTCTACCAAGGTAATGGGGAGCAAATGCACTAGGTCACATCTTTTAACTTGGGGCATATCATTACTCTTTGATAATGTGGATCACAGGCCAAATGCACTGTCAGCTAAGGATACAGTTCATTTGACTAAATGATGCAGAAACATAATTGTACTGTTTCACAAGCCCTTGTCCCCTGTTTAAAAAATTTGACAGCGAGTCTGTTATGTCTTTTCAACATGTTTAGGTTGAGGAAAGGTTATTTCCGCAGTCATTCAAAAAGCTTTAACTGATACTATCTTCTTTTCTTTATTTATAGATGTTTGTCATGAAAACACAAGTTTTACTAACACTTGCAAAACCAAACAAGATTCACAATATCAAATTCACATGCATTTTACACATGGCGCTACTAACGAAACGAAGGGCTCAATTTAGGAATTGTTAACCTACTTGCACCAGGTGCAACCTAAGATAAAAACCTAGTTGCATCAGCCAAATTCCAATTGCACTGCCTTCATTGCAATATGTAATGAAAGAAATATGCTATTGAATTATTTAAAGTTTAGAAGAAAAATGAGCTTACATAATTATGCCTATAATGTTAGATTTATTGTTAATATATTTCTCAAAAGTTGACCTGCACCTGGTGCAATTTAGAGAAATAACTATGTTGCACTTTGTAATATTGGGTTGCACCAGTGCAAGTAACAAAGCACTTAATCGATCCCTGAAAAGCCAGCTCATAGATGATGGAAACTTAACCTTTTCCATATCCCTTCATTTTGTAAACCATAAGCTAACAACAAAATGAAGTATTCTCTATACATTCGTAGATATAATACATTCAGATGCTTCACATTTTTCTTAAAGGTGAAAACAGACCAGGCCCAATTATCCTCTTAACAGGAATTCATGACGATCATGTTAAGGTACGCTCAGTTTGTCAGTGTGTTTGATATAATGCCACTTTGAATGTTATTTGAGCTAGGTGGGAGGAAAATGGATGATGTTTACATTTCTCTTGTAAACCATAGGCACAGTTTTATTGCTTGTAAACCAAGAATCATAATCAATGTTATTCTGGGCTTTGACCCCATTGTCAATGGGTTGTAGCCTATCAAAGATAATGCATAGTGAATCGTTTTGTCAAAGACAGCATTTTTTTAAAATCAATCTCTCAATGAAATTCTGTTTGATATCTGGTAACTGAGATATTTGCACATCTTCTGAAGTTAAGAGAATTTTACCGACCTCAGGTCCAAATGACAGGTTATTGGTCCATTGGAGAAGCATGTTCTAAAAAGTGGGGTGAAATGCTGTTTACAGTTCATGTTGGTTTCTATATGAAGAACAACTCAAATTTAAGAAATGTAAGATTGATTTGGTGCACAAATCAGCATACTGCTTTGTTGTGTGAAAGGACACTCACGAGATTAGCATGTGATGTCATATATATAATTCTATTGTTTGTGATATGTTCTTGTTACTGCTTGTACTGCCCTGGACTACTGTTGGTTAGATAGGGCCAGCTCAATGAAATACCAAGACCAATACTGACTTCTAGTTTTTGAAGTCATAAGGTATTTAACATTAGTATTGCGACACGTAAAAATCTGGGTTAGAACCCAGTAACCCATGTTTGTCATAAGAGGCGACTAATGGGGTCGGGTGGTCAGACTCATGGACTTGGTTGACACGTGTCATTGTATCCCAACTTCGTAGATCGATGCACATGCTGTTGATCACTGGATTGACTGGTCCAGACTCTTATTTACAGACTGCCGCTATGTAGCTGGATTGTTGCTGAGTGTGGCGTAAACTCACTCACTCACTCACATATTGAAAAATTTGATTTGATATCACATGGCATTTTGACTGATGGCAACCTGCTGGGGAAAGTAAGCTGAGGTGAAGTATAGTATTTATTTAGCATTTTGCTTGTCTGTGTGTATGTTTTCACAGGCTGAGTTAAAAGGTCTCCATGAGACATTTGTTTTTTCCAGAGCAGAACTAAAAAACCGTTCTAATACTTCTTCACCAAACTTGGCACATGGATAGATCTGTGGTGTACTGGTGCCTTTTGGTAGTTTTGGTATTCTGAATTAAATATTTTTGGCAATTCCATGGCAACAAGTTTGACTTTGACTGAAATTGGTGGTAATTCTCTTTTCCGGAGCAGAACTCTAAAACTGTTCAATGTTTCTTCACCAAACTTGGGACATACATACATCTGGTGGTGTACTGGTGCCTTTTGGTAGTTGTTTTGGAATTCTGAATAAAATATTTTTGGCGTTTCCATGGCAACAAGTTTGAATTTCACTGAAATTGGTGGTAGTGTTCTTTTCCGGAGCAGAATCTAAAACCGCTCACTATTTCTTCACCAGACTTGGCACTTAGATTGGTCAGGTGGTATACTGGTGCCTTTTGGTAGTTTTGGATTTCTTAATAAAATATCATTCCATTTCCATTGCAACAAGTTTGACTTTGACTGAAACTGCTGGTAGTGCTCCTTTCTGGAACAGAACTTAAAATAAAACCTTTCAATACTCTCCTTCCACTTTTCTATATACACACCAAAACATTTGACATAATCATAACTTTTATCTTATCCTTTGACTCTTATCCTGCAGCAAACAGTTGACAGGTTTGTAAACATGACGAATGGCCGCTATGCGGAAACACTGATGAGCCATGTTGTTTGTCAAGGTGGTATGTTCCTTCACTATCTCTTTTGATCATTAAGGAAGATTTAGTCATTATATTTTGTGCTGCATTCTCTGTTGACTATCTCACATCAATGTAAATTACTCCTGTTCTACACATAAGTGAAGTAGTACGTTCAATATTAATAGCAAATCCTATATGTTTTTATTGTAGATGCCAGGCGTTTTGTTCAGGGACTCACCCTGACAATGCTGCATGGGCTTCTGAACAATGTCTGGCTTCTCGATGTGTCTGGGACAACAGAATCAGTAAAGAAAGCTCGTCAACAGGATGAGATAGTAAAAATACACCCCTTTATGAATACAGAAAATGTATTATATATCTTAGCATTAACAAGACCTTTAAAACTAAACATTTCATTGTTGATAGTTTTTGTGAAGTGGTATCTGAATGAAATTCAGCACAAACATTCTGCTATGGATTTCAGTTATTATCATGATTTTTATATTGATTTTAAATGGGTTACAGGGTTCGAAATACTCCATATATTAGGGTGCCATGGCACGGTAAATATTGAAATGGCACGGATAAATAATTTTCTCAGTGCCCTTATGGCATGCCTAATTTTTTAGAGACATAACTCACCTTTAGTCATTTATTCCCCAAAACAAAACACTTACACAAATGACTGATAGTTTGGGAAGACTGATAGTTTGATTATTGAAGAGGAAATTGTGTACCGGTATGTTAGATATATTGAACTTACATATTGATAACCTGTCACAGAATTCTTAGCTATTACAGGTGCTGGGAAAGCAGAACAAATGAAGCTTAAGAAAGCCATCTCAAACAGAAGACATATCAGTGATAACAGAAAACAGGTTACATTTGTTGTTTACTAAAAATAAATTTCAAAAGATCATCTTCATTGCTACAGTCATTTGTTCTAAAAACATGTGGGCACACTTGATTTCTGATAGGCACATTTAAAATATTTGCCTGGTGCCCTAAGGCACACTTAAAAAAAAAAGTATTTCTATTCCTGGGTTACTTTGTTTAAATTTTTATACAGTGGTGTGTGCAAATAGAATGTTGCATTCCCAGTGTGATGTTAAATAATCAAGTGAACTTCAGATCCTCTCTTCTCTTATGTCAAGAGAACTAGAATAATCCTTACCTTATGTAGAAAGGCCACAAAATACAGCCAAATGCCAGCATCAGAGCCCTTCTGCTCAATATAGTATATGACACGAGAACAAGAATATTCCTGATATCTTTCAAATTGGTCCCTCTTTAGTTGGACCTTTGGCTGCAACTATGGCAAAGAGCTATAAGGAACGCATCTGGGTCCCTAACTTGTCATTTCAAACAGGTCTTAAGCAACAGGGATAAGACAAAATCAAGAGCATTTTGGGACTTGGTGCTGTGTATGGAGTCGCTGGTTTGTTCTACCCCTTGATGTGATAAGAGAAGAATTTCAATCCCACTCTATCTTTTGAGGGTTAAAGATATCTTATACTACATGCAGCACTACCACAAGTGAACATCTGTTCTAATGTATTCGACCGCCTCCGTGGTCTAGTGGTTAGAGCATCCGCCCGCAGAGCGGAAGCTCGCGGGTTCGATCCCCAACCGCGTCATACCAAAAGACGTAAAAATATGGTACTTGTTGGTCCCTGCCTGTCGCACAGCATTAATGGGTACATCAAGGACTGGTTGGCTCGGAGTCAGTATAATGTGTCTGAGTGGGGTATTCATGTTTCACTGCGGCATGGTATGTCAGTGGGCTAGCACTATAAAACCAGCTTAAGTCTGGGCTAGTACAAGCAGCCGCACATACACATACACACGCATGCACGTCGTCATATGAGCAAAATACTCTCAAGCACGACATTAAACCCGATTTCTCCTCACCTCACCTCATCTAATCTATTCATAAACTAAGTAAAAGCTGATGTGCTTTTTTACCTGGGAAGATCTGAGTTAGAATTGGTCTTCAGCAATCCATGCTTGTCGTAAGAGTTGACGAAGGGGATTAGGTGTTCAGGCTCGCTGACTTTGTTGACACATGTTATTGTTTCCCAGTTGCGTAGGTCGATGCTCATGCTTTTGAACAATGCATTGACTGATCCAGACTAGAATATTTATAGACCGCCGCCATATAGCTGGAATATTGCCGAGTACAGAATAAAACAAAATAATACTTTGAACTCTGGAAGCTCTATGTTACTTCCTTAGTTGGAAGTGGATACATCAAATCCTCACTTGGAAGGAATTGTATGACAAATGTGCTTGAGTGTGTGTTAAGTCCCCAGTAGCAAGTGCATCTAAATGAGCAAGTGTATACACAGACCCATCACTTGAAAGGAAATTCCAAGACCCCCAGGTATCAGTGTGGCGTATATTGTTGAGTCAGTTGACTTGTCAGTCTGATTTTGGGGATCATCTTGTACGTTCTGTTGTGGTCAACAGGAATACGCCCAACAGGCACTCAACTTGCATTTGTTTAGATCTTATTAAGATAATACAAAAAAAGCCTGTGCCAAGGGTGGTTGCAAACCCGTTCCAGTTAATTTCATTCATTTCAATTATCAATTTTTAAAAAACGTATCCTGTCTGTATGTTTTATCTTTCTTTTGACCCCTGTCTGACGTATTTCTACTTACTAAAAACCATCCCACTTGAATACATCTCAGCAGTCGCTTCAGTGACTACTGGTAACAGCAAACTCCTGCTTTGTTGTATTTTAATAGTTGTATGGTCCTTGCTTGGGTTGTGTCATCCACCTTCCTTCTATGTAATTAATGCTCTCTGAAAATTGTAAAATTCATTGGTAGTTATTTCACACAACAAAATCCCACCCATGCCTGCACTGCACTCAAGCCTGGAAGTGTTTCAGTTTTCATTATTTTTACTTATCCTGACTCATGATCTTTTGCTTATCTCCCTTTCCCTGTCGAATGGTAGTGGAACACTTGAATCCCTTGAAGTTCCCGAAGCGGACGTATAAACACACTCACCCACGAGTTACCTCCCTTTGCCCTTTCCCGCGCAAACCAGTTAGGTGACCTGCCGTACTTGTCACTCTCTCCCTTTTCGCCCAAGCGGATGGTTGGGCGAACACTGGAGTCCCGTATACGGCATCATATCCTTTTTATTTAGGCCTATTCTTCAAAATTACGCTGTATATGGATTTGGCTATAACTACTATGTAGTATTTGTAAATTTTTTGTAAATATTATTGACTTTGAGTCGTGTTTTCATCGTCATGTAACTTTGTTTACATTTCATGAAATCCTGCAGTGTTTGCAGGCACAGGTTATCCATGGCTGATCCTCACCCCCAATGTCCTTCGTGCATAAATCCATGTTCCTCCAGCTTGCGCTGTACTTATTGTATTGATTTATCAAATCTTCAATTTAATCAATATTTGTCTTATATTTATAGACGTGCCATGGATCGGGTGAGAAAGTCATCTCAAGTCACGATTGATAAAACTGCAGATCAGCCTTCAAACCGTATGTTGCTTGCTACTGCCGATGTTCATAATACTGGTGCTATGTTTAGTACGTTACAGAGGCAGTCTGCTGGTAAGGGAGCCAGGAAGAGATCGTCTGCATCTCAGTCGACTCCGTCTCAGACTAAGAAAAAGATGTCATCCTCTTCTACAACGCAGAAGAAGTCAGCTGTTACCAGATCGAAAGGCAAATCTACGCATGCTAGCTCATCTACGCACCAGAAATCCTTCAACGAAGATATTGTACCTCCTCACGAACTAGACGTTTTTGACGAACCCCATTACTTCTACCCGAAGTATCTATGAGATCAGCGACTCAGTCGACCTCTACTACTACGAGATCGTCCCCTACTGCAGTCACAGCAGGACAGATGTTTGACGTACTACCTCTTACTTCTAGTCATCTACACCGCAGCAGCGTCAACCTATGCAGAACTTCGACCCAGGGGGAATTTATGACACAATTCACCAACCAGATGATGGCCATGATGGAACGTAGATTCCAGGAGGAATCAAAGGCTAGGAAAAGCCTCTCATCTACCGACACCGTGCGCAAACCTACGGACATGTGCTAACCCACGGGCCTGCGCGAATCTACTCCTCTTGGAACTACATCCCAAGGCTACGTTGGCGAACATACACCTTTGCGAAGGTCTCCCCAGTCGGACGACTCTGTCATCTTGGAGGATAGAAGAGATGACTTACCTTCTCTCAAATCTACTTCTGCGAACCCTCAACGTTCGAGAACATCAAAGGATCCAGCTCCTACACCTAGCCGCTCTAGGTTGAGATCTCATATCTCGCACAGACGTTCCCGAAGTTACTCACCTCAAGCCAGAGGTTCGTGAAGAGAAGACTCACATCACAGGATTTCGCCCTACGATAGACGTTCGCGAAGAGATAGCTCACCTCACAGAGGTTCACGAAGAGATGTATCCACAGATAGAGGTTCGCGGAGAGAACACTCTCAAGATAGACGTTCGCATAGGGAGGAATCTTCAGATAGAGGTTCGCGAAACGAGGACGAAGGTTCGAGAAGGGAAACAGGTTCGCAGATGGATGAATTGTTGAGACCAAGCTCTAATAATCAGGAGACTTCGGACTTGCAAACGGACTTCATCTTCCCAGACTCAGAAGTTACAGCATGGATTGCTAACGGGTTGAACTTGGAGTCTCCTTCTAAGGATAAAGATGAAGTCTACACTTATATGATGCGTAATGACTTCAGCATAAGTCTCAAGAACGACCATATCGTTCTGGATGAGAGCCGTTATATTGAGAGCCTATAAAGCAGCAGAACTAGAACCTCCTTGAGCTTCCAACCACACACGAAGTCAGAGCACTGGCGTCAACACTAGCTCTGCACGGAAATTGCTCTATACCGACAATCATGGAGGGCTGCCTTTGGAAGTCGGATACGGTGTTTGCCAACCACTACCTCCGAGACATAGCCACTGAAGACGTCTCAGGCATTCACCAATTTGGACCTTTCGTTGTAGCACAGCAACTAACGGTTCCTCAAAGGCGCTGAGTTGGAAAATCTCACCCTTTATCACGCTGACTTGTAGATGACTTTTACTAAGGAAAAGTATTAGTTTGAAAGTCCATGCGCACAGTCTAGGATAGGCTAGCATGAGTGATTAAAGATCCTGTACGGGTAAAGATCTTACCTGTACATGAAGGGATCGCAACTCATTTATGATAAAGATCTTATCATAATCTATGGGTTGTTATAAGATATCTAGTAATAGGAGAATACTAGTTTATCTATAGGCCCACGAATAAACATGATTCAACTTGTCTGAGATTGAAGTAAGACAAGAAGTGGTCCCCCCGAGTTACAACGGAAGTTTAAAGAATAGGACCACGGAAATGCCGTTCGCAGTTCCCATGGGGGGGGGGGGGGGGGAATACAGGACGTATCTAAGGACAGCTGTTGAATCCAGTGGCTTGACCCACCACCTATTCCGACGGATTCTATAAGCTTTTTTTTTCACAATTTTTTCCAGTGATGGGTATAAATAACAAAGGATATTCATTACCATCTACCGTTTTGACATTTAATGTGCTATTCCCGATGGTAAGTAATTTTTCAATTCATCATTCTAATTTGGTGACAAACGGATTGTCCTTTTTGTTGATATTTTAGATTTTAATTATCTACAGTGGCACAAATTTGGTTGTCAAAGGTGTAATACTGATAATCTTTTAATAAATCATATCAAGATAACTTGTTGCCCGTGAAGATCCGGGGTAGAATAGGTCTGTAGCAACCCCTGCTTGCCATAAAAGACTACTGTGCTTGTCGTAAGAGACGACTAACGGAATTAGGCACGGTGGTCAGGCACTGTATTGTCTGGTTCAGACTCGATTATTAACAGACCGCCGTCACATAGCTGGAATATTGCTGGGTGCTGCGTTAAACAACA